ATAAAAAGGATGGCCCTGGCCAGAAAGTTCAGTTGGTTGGAGCATTGCTCCAATGCACCAGGGTTGCAGGTTCAATCTCTAGTCAGGAAACATGCAAGAGGCAAACAATAAATACATGAGTGGGTGAAAGAGTAAACAGCTCTCTCTCTCACTCTCTCTCTCTCTCCAGCAATCACTTTAAAAAAACCAATCAAGCAACAGGGAAATATAATTATGAATATAGATGTACCTAATAACAAAGCATCATAATGCATACAGCAAAAACTAACAGAACTGAAGAAAAATAGACAATTAAACAATTATAGAGATTTCAATAACCCTACTTACTATAATGAACAGAAGAACTAGGCAGAGAACATCAACAAGGATTCAGAAGACATAAACAACACTATAAACCAAATAGATCTAAGAGACATTAGAACACACCACCCAACATCAGCAGATTATTCTTCTCAAGTGCACATGAACCATTCTCTAGGATAGCCCACATGCTAGAATATAAAACAATCCACAATAAAATTAGAAGCATTGAAATAATATAAAGTATGTTCTGTGACCCCAATAGAATAAAATTAAAAGTCATTTTAAAAAGATATCTGGGAAACTCATACATACGTAGGTACTAAACAACATACTTCTACAAAACAAGTGGGTCAAATAAGAAAAAGGGATATCACAAAATGCCCTGTGATAAGTTAAAATGAAGATAATAACATAACAAAACTTAGGGGATGCAGCTCAGAGGAAAATGTATAGTTGTAAACATCTACCGTAAGTCCTCACTTAACATTGTTGATAGATTCTGTGACTTTAAGTGAAACAATAAATAACAAAACCAATTTTACCATAGGATAATTGATATAAATAGTAGTTAACTTCCAATGGTATCTCATCAATGTTATAACGAAGTGACATTCACCGATGATGTGCTGTATATATGAAAAGAAACTAGAAAAAGAAAACTAAACTCAAAGTAAGCTAAAGGAAGGAAATAATAAAGATTAGGGTAAAGAATTGAAAGCAAAGACTCAGAAAAATATTTGTACACCCATGTTCATTAAAGCATTATTCACAATATCCAAAAGGTGGTAGCAGTCCAGTTGTCCATTGATGAATAAATGCATAAACAAAATGTGATAATCACACACACACACACACGAATATTATTCAGCCTTAAAAAAGGAAGGAAATCCTGTCACATGCTACAACCTGAATGAACCTTGGGGACATTTTAAGTGAAATAAGCCAGTTATAAAAGGACAAATACTGTATGATTCCATTTATAAGAGGTTCCTAGAGTAGTGAAATTCATAGAGACAGAAAGTACAATGGTAGTTGCTAGGGTCTAGAGGAGAAAAAGAGAGGGTGTTATTGCTTAATGGAATAGAATTTCCATTTTGCAAGATAAAAAAAGTTCTGTGGATGGATGGCAGTGACGGTGGTACAACAACGTGAATGTACTTAATGTTATTGAGCTATACACTTAAAAATGGTTAAGAGGCTTAATTGTATGTTATATGTATTTTGCCATAATTTATTAATAGATTAGAATGTTAAGTAATGAGATATAAAACAGTAAAATTATAGAGGAAATTAACTAAATCCTAGGTTGGTTCTTTGAAAAGTTCAACAAAATTGACAAAACTTTTGGTAAACTAGGGGAAAAAAGAGAAAAGACTCAAATTATAAGAAGCAGAAATGAAAGAGGGGAACATTATAGTAAGCTTACAGAGATAAATACAATTACAATATAATATTATAAACAACTGTATGCCAACAAATTAGATAACAGATGAAATGGACAATTTCCTGGAAAGACCCCACTACACAAACTAACACAAAGGAAGTAGAAAATCTGAATAGATCTATAACAAGAGATTAAACCAGTAATTTTAAAAATCTATGCACAAAAGCTCAAGCTCAAATGGTTTTGCAGATGATTTTTAGCAAACATTTAAAAAAGAAATAATATTAATTCTTCACAAAATCTTCCAGAAAATAGAACCAGACGGGACACTTCCCAAACCATAGAACTGATAAATGATGTTACACGAATGAAATGTGAAAACAATATATTAAGCAATAGAATCTAGGCACAAAAGACCATGTATTATATGATTCTATTTGCATGAAATGCCTAGAATAGGCAAATTTACAGGGATAGAAAATAAAGTAGTGGTTGCCTAGGGGCTGAGGAATAGGGGGTGACAACTAAAGAATGTGAGCTTTCCTTTTGAGGTGATAAAAATGTTCTATAACTGTTGTAGTGATAGTTACACAACTCTGTGCATATACTAAAAATCATTGAATTGTACATTTTAAATGGGTAAATTATATGCTATGTAAATTATATCTCATTAAAGCTATTACCAAAATAAATGCTCCACTTTTAAATATTATATACTCTGAGCGCTTTCTAATATTTTATTTGAAGGAAAGTTTTCTATGCCTTACAAAAGCCTTGTTCACACATTCCTTCATTCAGGAAGGCTTGCACTGAGCACACGCTGTGTGTGGTTCCTTGAGCTGGCATGGGGGACAGACAGTGAGGATGAAATTGACATTTCGAGCTCTTGCCTTCCCACCTCTTGTGAATGGTAGGGAGATGCTTGGGCCTGCAGGAGTCCCAGATAGACTCAGGTTTGTGATGGGACCAGAAGAGGGCCTCTACCGACTCAAGGGAGAAACTGAGGCTCCACAGACCACGGGTGCCTCACTCGGAGTGGCACGGATGCTCCAGGAGGCAAAGCGCATGGAGGCCCCACGGCCGGGGTGCTCGTGTGCATCTGCCCTCTCCGCAGCACTCCGCCTCCCTGAGACTCTGTTTCTTCAACTGTAAAATGGGGCTATGACTCCTGTTTCTCCAGAGAGTTAAAAGCCCTGCATGTTCAGGGCTTTTACAAGGTAAGTGAACATGTTGTATAGTCCACATGAAGAAAGAACCAGGGTTAGCCCTGTGCTGGAAAGTGGGAGGCACTGAGGGTGCAGGACCCTCTGTGCCACATTTAGAAGAGCTCTGGCCCTGTCTGGTGAGAGGGCAGTGTGTGCGCACACACTCACACACTCCTTCACTGGCAAGCCATCTCTGGCTCACCATTTGTTGCCTTTGGATACTGGTCACACTGTGGGAGGCACAGCCACCCTTCTCCCTTCAACCCACCAGCCCCACTCAAGCCCTCCTTCTCAAAGCCTTCCCAGGCTGAGAGTCCAGAGTGAGCATACCTCCTCGGAGCCCTGAGAGCCCCTGATGATGTCTGAGTGTCACCTGCCTGCGGGGAGGGCAGGGAGGGTGTAAAATCCCAGCTCCTCCATGGACCAGCACAATGATCCTGTGTAGTTCTTGACTCACACAAAGCATCGTGTGACATGAGGTTAACAAGAGCACTTTACACTTATGGTAGTTGTGTAATGAATGAAATAATGCTTTGAGAGCACTTACCACAGTGCCTGTGTCATTCAGTGGGCCTAAAGCCTGCTCTGCCCACCTCACAGACTGTGGGCAGGCGGGGGTGGAGGGAAGTTTTTGAGGTGTTATTGTGAATGGCTGAGAGCAGAGTCCCTCTGCAGGGGGCTCAGCTGGGGAGGGCACAGCGGGGTGCTGACTGGGTGGGCCATGGACACAACTCTGAAGACCAACTGGGTCCTTGTTGCTTGTTTGTCCCTTGTCCTATTCAGACACCCCCTGTGGGTAGGGCCTCACCTTCTGCTGAGATCCTGTTGTGCCCAGGGCCCCTGCTCACTCCATTCTGAGGTGCAGTCAGGGCCCACTGGAATGTGCATCTGGACAACAGCCACCAGTGAGTTAGCTTCCATTACTCAGGAACCAGAGAGGGCCTCTCTTGCCCTGGGGTAGGGGGAGGCCAAGATCACTGGTATACATGAGTCACCAGGTGGGCAGGTCTTACTAAAGTACAGCTCTGGGGTGGGCCTGAGATTCAGTATTTCTGACAAGCTCCCAGGCAACACGGATTCAGCTATGCCTGGCTGTACTTTCAGCAGCAAGGACAAAAAACATGTCATGGCCATTTGTGAGGGGAATGGTGGGCAAGAAGCACATCTCAGCCTCCTGCTGGTCCTGGTGAGACCCAGCCCCACCCAACTGGGCCCTCGGCTTCCCACATCTGGAGGGTGAGACAACATGGATTTTCTGAGTTTACAGGATTCCGTTTCCATTACATATATAGAATAATGTAGTACCACATCATAAAAACATAGGAAAGTATGAAAAAATAGTAGAGAAAAATCACTGATAATCTCATACCATATTTAAAACAACTGTTAACCTCTCTCCCCAGGATTCCAAAGCCATGTCTGTCAGAGAGCCAGGGGTCACCTCATGAGTGGGGTCTGTCCCAGAAGCCCTGCCCAGTAATGGCGGAGCATTTGGGGAGAGAGAGAGGGGTTGATCCCCACACCCTTGGTCCCCTTTCCTCCCCAGCCCCACAGTGCCTTCACCCAGACCCATCGTAGGGGCACAGAGTCAGGGCAGGCTCCCCTCCATCTTCACAGGCAGCAGGTTGAGAAGGAAGCCTACTGCAGAGGAGGTAGCGGTGGGGTCTGGGGGAGGGGATGCACATCTGGATTCCTGGCCCAGAGCCTGCATTCCTTCCCTGTGAGTGTGAGGAGATGGGGTCTCTGGAGAGAGCTACGTGAGGAGGCTGCTGGCCCCCATCCCGCTTCACTGTAATAGAACCTACCCTGGCAGGAAGACTGGAAGGGATTTGAAGGCCCAGAACCTCATTCTGGGGACCCAGATTGCTGCCTAATCACTACAGGTCCAAGCTGGGCCTCTGTCCCATTCATACCAGCCACACTTACCTCAGAAATACCAGAAGGAAAAAAAAACATGGAGACCAGAGAGAGCCACAAAGTCACTTGCTCATGGAAGGGGAGGGGGACAGGTGGAGAGCAGCCCCACCTGTCCTTCACATCTACCCACAGAAACTGCTACACAGGTCAGTAGGGAACCCACGAGCCCTGCCTGGGCCAGGCTGCCTTACCTGGGGGCAGTCTTTGATGTAGTGTCCTTTGTTGAAGCACAGGTGGCACAGGTAGTTGGGTGGGGGCCTCTTGCTGGGCTTTCGGGTCTCAGAGGTGAGGGTCAGGTCAGAGAAGTGCTCAGTGAGGGAGCTGAGGCCATCGGCAATGTTGTTGAGGGAGCCGTAGGGCGAGGCACTCTTGTACATGCTGCTGCTCAGTGCCTGTGGGGACAGAGGCTGTGAGGGCTCTGGAAGGTCTGGACACACTCGTTTGCAGCCATGACCTCAGGGAAATTTCCATGGGCGTGCTCATGCACACACGCATGCACACACACACACACACACGTGAATTCACAATGACCCTGCAGCCGCCCATGGGCTCTAGCCTCCTCGAGCCTGAGTTCTAATACAACTCCAGTTGTGTGCCCATGGGCAAGCCAGTTAACCACTCCAGGCCACAGCAGCCCCCATCTGGAAAACAGGAATGATAACTCCCTCCTAGGGTTTCAATAAGACTGACATGAAGTCACAAACATATAGCAGTTATCTCCTGCCTGGCACTTAGGAACCACTCAGTAAGTAGTGATGGTAATGACAATTATTATCATTAATTCTTTACACACTGCCAGGAGATAAGCATGTATAACAGAAAAAAAACCTGGTAGGTTTGGGGCTCTGCTGCTTACTGGTGGAGTGACTGTAGGTAGACAAGTCATCTATCTCTGAGCTGACTCAGCTTCCTCAGCTTGTAAGGAAGAGGAGTGTCAGACGCAGCACAGTTTCCACTGTACCAGAGAGTAGACTGCAAGTCAGTGCTTTGCCTGGTCTCCTGCAGCACAAGGCCTGTGCAGACTGCGTTTGGGGAGCCTTCAGCCGATCCAAGCAGTGCTCAGGGAACCCAGCGAGGAAGTCGCCCACCTCTCCCACCTCTCCCACCTCTCCCACCTCCAGTTGACAGGAACCAGATGTCTCGCCTGGCTTCAAAGCAGATGCAGCCCAGGCCCCCTCCTGGTGTATACACCCTCTATTTATAGGAGTCACAGGCTCCGCGGCCAGGCACACTGGAATTTAGTGAAGGCGGGCCTGCGGTGAGGCCATGGCCCCCTTTCCTGGGGCAGGGCCAAAGCAGGAAAGAGGTAGCCTCCTCAGGAGGGTCAATGACAAACCTGGGCATGGGCTTGGGCATTCCCTGACCCCAGCTCAGGTGCCCAAGAACTCCAGGAGTGAACTACAGGCCTTGCCTTTTTCTTAAAAGACCCAGGCTGATGTGTGAGGAGAGCCTGAGAGAAAGTTGCCTTAGTCTCCTTTACAAAGATGGGGCAGACAGGGGCCCAAGGTGGGGACAGTCCCTTCTGTGTTCCATCAGTGTGAGAAGGGGATGAAGGTGACCAGGCACTCCCCACGACCATGATAGATCCCACCCCTCTCACAAGAATACCTCAGCCTCCCTACTTGTTCCATCTCTGGGGATTTGGCAGTCCCCTTCTAGACAACACAGTCCTCATCATCTGGGTGCCAACACTCTCCTTGGCTCCCTGGACACCCTGCTATGAGACCCTGGGCCAGCTCTTTCCCTCTCTGGGCCTCTGTTCCCTCTCGTGCTGATTTGGATCGGAGCCTAGGGTCTGGAAATAAAGCCACAGATAGCATCTCCAGGGCAGCCCAGGCCCAACACACAGCCAGCCTCCAGCAACTGGGCACAAAACTCAAAGGCTCCTAGTGACCATCTCTGCTCTACCACTGACCAGTGCTACTGTGAAGCCCAGGGCCAGTGGAAGACATTACACAAAGCTGCATTCAGTCCGAGGGCAACTCTCCAACTCTCAGGTGGCCCAAAATGGGGTGGTCCAGCCTGAGAGGCAGAGAGTCCCCATCCCTGAATGTGTGGGAGCAAATACTGAACAACCTTAAGGGGTATGGGAGGGTTCTGATGGAAATGAGATTAGGTGATAACTGAGCACCTACTATGTACTAAGCCCTGAAACCTTTACACATATTGATATGATTGATGCTTATAACCCTATGAGTCATTGTCCCCATTGGACAGATGAAACGAGTATGTTCCAACATACATTGAATGGCCTGTAAAACTTTCAACAAATAGTTTTCTGGACCCCACTTCAGACCTACCAAAGCAGCCACCTGGGACTGAGGACCTGGAATCTGCACTTTTTATTGTGGTAAACTACACATGCATAAAATCTACCATTTTAACAATTTTTTAGTGCACAGTTCAGTGGCATTGAGCACATTCACATTGTTCTGTGGCCATCACTACCTTCCAACTCCAGAAATTTTTCATCATCCCAAACTGAAGCTCTGTTCCCATTAAACACTAACCCCCTGCCCGCACCCCAAGTTCAAATCCACATTTTTAAAGCTCTCCCAGACAGTTCAGGTACAACCACCTGGCAGAGCCCCTGGACTTTCCAACTGTCAAGGTCTCTCCTCAGATGGACTCTAGGCTTCTTATAACCCCACTGGCCTAAGGGAGGGCAGCATAGCCCCAGCCTCTCAGAGAAAAGTTCATCCAAACACGAAAGTTGAAGCTCCAAATGCGTGACTCACCCTCATGGCTGGGAAATGCAATTTCGCAAATAACAACCCTCTTTTTCCCCCTTTTTCTTTCTTTCCTTTCCTTTTTCTTTTCTGGATGAGATAGAAGCAAGTCCACAGGAATCAGGACTGTTTTGGCAGCAAATTGTCTAGAGGAAGGGGAAGTTTGGTGGGTGCCAGAAAGTGCACTAATTACACCCTGAAAAGCCTTTCCCTCGTCTTTCAGCCACACTTTCCTGCCCACGGGCAGCCCTGCTGGTATTCCTGGGCAGCCTGAGGCTCCTGAGTAGGCTGCCCTCTCCCTGGCAGCTCAACACCTTGCAAGGCTCCCAGGTTTGTCCCTGTCACATAGGGAGCTCCTGGTCAAAGAGGTGAGGCCAGAGCTTCTCTCCTCACTGCTGCTCCCCTCTCCAGAGTCCTCTGGCCTGCCCCCCAGGCTGCTCCAGCCCCAATTCAAGAGGATGCCACCTTAGAGTTGAAAGGACAGAGAGTGGTGAGCTGATGCAACCGCAGTCTCACCAATGAAGAAACTGAGACCCAGAGAAGGCCGGGGGCACAGACCAAGGCACACAGCCAGGCCTAAGGGCCAGGAGTCCTGTCTGACAGTGTTGCAAGGGTGGGTGGGGCAGCAAGCTGTTTCCTCTCTGAAGAAGTCCAAGGAGGAGCTTGGGCCATGGAGGTGAAAGGTGAGTCGGCCTCTCAGATGTTTCTGTGGACTGCAGCAACTGGACATGGCAGAAGCTGGGACATACAGAGCTTCTTCCCTTCTGGCTGCAGAGCAGAGGCCTGACCACTTGGGTTTCCCAGGTGCAAAATATAAAACGGAATAGGGAAGGTGCATAAACTTGATGATTCCTGCAGCCCTACTTTCTTAAAGTCTAGCACCCAGATACGGAAAGACAGCCCCAGAGTCCAGCATGCAGACTGCACTTAATCCACAAGGGCGCCATCTGTTCCAGGTCCTGCCACCTGTAGCCGAGGGCAAGATTGGGCAGAAGATCTCTTCATCAGTCAGCCCCTAACTCTGCAACAGCCAAGCCGTTCCTCTCTGTGTCCCATGGAACAACTGCTTTTCAGCCTCCAGTCCTACACTTGCTGTCCACCTCCAAGAGACCCTCTCTGTGTCCCTTCCAACCTTCTCCAGGCCCTGGCTCCTGGTCTAGTTCTAACTTTAGTGGTGGGGCCTCGAAACCACCCCTTCCTCTTACTCAGGCCTCAGGCTCCACAAGACAGTGTAACCTCACCGATCTGGGTGCTCCTGAGGTCTTGCCAGCCGCATAGGTCCCAGCTTCCTCCAGGGGTCTCCTGGACCTTCCTGCCATAGCCCTGCCCCTAAGTGCTATAGGTGGGAGTGGGACCCACCCCACAGCTCCTCTGTCCTTGCCTGAAGGAACTCTGAAGTCTCTCTCTAATCTCTTTGCCAGGTGATGCTTCCTCTTGTCTCCACAAGGCTGGACATCCCTAAAGGCAAAGATTCTGCCACCCTTGTCACTCCAGAGCCTCCCCTCACACTTGTGGCGGTCCTGGGCACAGATAATCCCCAGGCAAGGAAGGGCCTGGGAGCCCCACTTGGCAGAAGAAGGAACAGATGACTTAATACCTTGAAGGAGTTAAGTCGAGGTCTCCAAGTTCCTATGGACCAAATCAGAGGGTGGTCTCACCCCAGATTAAGCTGCTCTGGGACTGGTTGAGAGCAGCCCACTAGTGTAATGGACAGAAGTGTCTGGGCCATCAAGGCCCAAATCACCAGCCTGGGGGGAAAAAATCATCTGTCCTTCCTCCCTAGGTCAGTGACCCAAGCAACTAGCAGGAAGTGTGGGATCCTTACAAGACATCTGGGGGACAGAGTGTCAGACTCCTGTCCATTGCTGGAACTTCTCCAAGGTTCTGGCTTGGCAGCTGGGGAAAGTTAGATGGGAAGACATTCAAGTTTACCCTGATACTAGTTGTGTCAATACTTGACTAGGTCCTTTCCCTTTCTTAGCCCTTGGCACTATTTTATAGAACTAGAAACTGAGGCTCAGAGAGGCTGAGTAAGTTGCCCAAGTGTGTGGCTGAGAGGAGATTCACACTCACCCATATCTACTGGCCTGTTATATTCCAGCACGCAACACGGCCTCCAAGGTTTGGCTTCCCCTCCAGGATGGGGAGCCAGAGGGAAACGCCAGGTGTGAACCACACTTCTTGGCAGAGAGGCCTTGTGACATCATATTGCCAAGCCCCTCAGCACTGGCAAGATGAGGCACTGGCCTTTCTGGGCTATGTGAGGGATCTGGGCCCTGGGGTTGGTGGTTCTGTTGAGGGATTTGGGGTACAGAGGCAGAGATTTCCAGGGCTGACTCAGCCTGCAAAGCTGTTCTTTTTCTCCCCCTCCCCCACCCCAACACCAAGACAGTAAGCGGGCACAGTAGGTGGGGGGCATGCCAGAATTAGGGCAGGTGGACAGAAGCTTCTGAGACAAGCCTAGAGGGAGAAGAGACCAGTGCAGAGTGGAGAGGCAGGGACTGCAGGCAGACACAGAGCAGCACCCACAGGGAAGGACATGGAACTGGGTGAGGCAATGAGAAGGGCAGCGTCTGAGGAGGCCGGGATGAAGCAAATGATGAGCCCTACCCCCCAGGCCTGAGGTGACCCCAGAGGGGAAACTCCCTGAACCTAGTCCCCAG